TTCAATGGCCTTTTTGGGGTGAGGGGCCCAAAACTGAACGCAGGAATCGAGGGGCGGCCTCCCCAGTGCCGAGCCCAGGGCTCAGATCCCTCCCCTGTCCCTGCTGGCCACGCCAGGGCTGGTACAAGCCAGGATGCCGTTGCCCTCCTTGGCCCCCTGGGCACACTCCTGGCTCATTATCAACATCCCCCCTCAGGTCCCTCCCTGACTGGCAGCTTTCAGCCACTCCTCCCCAAAAGAGGGAGAGAAGAGCCCAGAAGGCCCTTGTACCAGCTGTCCTGTGGGCTCTAAGCCCTACTAGAAGATTTCACAGCCATAAATCAATGCTGGTGTGGCTGCATTTTGGGCATCAATTTGTGCCTTTCCTGCAGGGGAGATGGAGGCACAGTGAGCCCCTTTGAAGCAGGGAGAGGTGGGTGATCTCTGCCCCTAACTTTGGGCAGGAAGCCATCGGCTGTTCACAGAGGGAGGCTGTGCCTGGGGCACTGTCACCTGCTCCAGCTGGATGTTGGACAGTCAGTAGGATGGGGGTGACAGCTGAGAAATCCTGGGCTGTGCTGCAGTGAACGCTGTGCCTCAGTTACCAGAACAACTGGGCTGCACCCAGAGTGGACAGCGGGGGGGCGGGGGGGGGATTCTGCCCCTCTGCTCCACTCTGGTGAGCGCCCCCTGCAGGGCTGGGTCCAGCTCTGGTGGCACCAACAGCAGAAGGACACAGACCTGCTCGAGCAGGGCCAGAGGAGGCGATGGAGATGCTCGGGGGGCTGGAACACCCTCTGTGAGGACAGGCTGAGAGTGTTGGGGAGTTCAGCTGGAGGAGAGAAGGCTCCGGGGAGACCTTAGAGCAGCCTCCCAGGGCTGAAAGGGGCTGAACTCTATGCTAAGAGTTATGAGTTATGTTATGAGAAGACAGGAGCTCTTCAAAATGCTCCTTAGAGAAATGGTTATTGAGACTTACTCTCAGGTGCTGCAAAGTGACAAAGATCTCTGAAAGTTGTGTCTCCTTTCAAGGAAAACCCAATGCCTTTTCCACAAACACTCACAGAATCATGTGTTTCTGTAGAGGTTTGTAACACGGTGAGGAGAGAATGAAATGTGAATAGAAGTGTGTGTGTGTGTGTGTGTGTGAGAGAGACTGAAGCAACACCACAAGGGTTAATCTCCTTCTCTCTCTCATTTCCTTATTAGTGCTAAATATCTTAGTGCTAACTATCTCTAACACAATTCATCATGGCACTCCCTTTGGCAGCTGCTCTTTGTTAACTAAACACATACTCACATCAGATAAATACACTTTAGTGTTGTCTGTGTCATAAACTCCTGTCATGATCACACAGGGATCACATACTCTCACTTCAGTTCCAGTATCCACCTGTCTCCTGGGTACAGTGAAACCCGAAATAAAACATGTGGTTTGCTCCTGAGAACCAACAACAGCAACTAATGGCGGTAACACAGTTTTCATTAAGAAACACAACTCTATTATCAAAAGTTATTAATCTGTAGATTAATAACAAAAGCACTTGGCTCGGAAACCCGAAGTTTGCATTACGCTTTGTCCTAGAGCAATGAGAGTGCTGGTGGTGGTAATTTCTGTACCAGAGAGATGTTTCTGCTGCCAATAACAGATTTCAGTGCAGAATGGAGGACAGCCAGGAGGCAGCCAGCACTTATGGTCACTGTGAAACTCCTCTGGATAGGAATTAGTGACTGAAGCAGAAAGGCTCTCATTATTCATCCTCCAAAGTATCCAGTATCATGTAAAAACTAATTCTAAAATCCAAACGCTCTCCAACAAAAATAGTTCAGCGAGCAGCACAAAAGTGGCACAAGGGCAATCATGACACATGCTTTCCAAGCTCTGAGGCCCACTCTCTGTTGTTAATCTTTAGTTTAGTTAATTACTCTGATTTAGAGAGCAGCCCATCAAACAGAGAAAAGCCAATTTCAATTTTCAAATCAGTGCACTTGAAAAGACACGGTCTGCCTTTGCCTTAAGAGTTAGATGCCCACTGCCAACTTAATGGGTGCAATTATATTTTAAAGGAGCAGTATGATCCTGATCAAAAAAACCACCCCAAACAAATGTGTGAGTTTTACAATCGAGCTTTCATTTTCTTATTACCTAAAAATCCATCTTCCACAAGATATAGTACAATTACAAAGACCAGTTGCAGCTCGCTTGTGAACATCTTTGTTCTTTTATAGGAATTCTTTCAAGATTTTAAATTTATTATAAGAGGATACGGATGTCCTCAGAGAGCCCAACTGACTACTCTGAGAAGTTAAAGCATTTGCAGAAACTCAGACTCAGACTGCAAAACTCCTGTTTGCCTTTACAGTCTCTTTTACTACAAATCAGGTTGGTCATGGCTGGGGAAGAGCATGGGCACATACCGGGACACAGGATCTAGCTGGAAGGCTATTCAGAAGGACACTCTGACAGAGACAAGATCGCTCTGTCCCACCTGCTCTGCTCTCAAAGTGGCCGTCTCCACCTCCAGACCACTGGAAGAAGGTCAGATCCACCAGGGGCCATAACTTGGTTGCAAACTTCAATCTTATAATATTCAAGGGACAGTTCTAATTCTGCAAAAATGCCACTTCACAAATTACAGGAATCTGATAATCATCTACAGAAACAAGAATTCACAGAGACTAAAACTCATGGATTCTTGCTAGCTGACAGCATAAAACCAAACCTCCTTTCCCTTTAAATATCAAGACAAGAAGCAGCGTTTCTTTCTCAAGAGAGAGTTACAACTTTGGGATTACAGCAGCAGAGTTTATCTCACATGTAAAACTCTGATGTGCAGAGCTCGCTCAGCCAAATCCAGGGGAGAATCATCCACAAAGAGTTCTTGAGTTTGGGTGATAATTTCAATACTGTCTATCGTATCAACAACATCACAGTGGAGTAAATGCCAGTCACTACAAGAGAACAAATAATCCTTAATTCAGCATCTACAAACTCATACTGGTTTATAAACTCGTGAAAAGCTAGTACTAGGGAAAATAGTAAAGAATAGGTAGCTTCCCATCCTACAGAGGCTGAAAAATATGCTACCAGAAACCATAGATTTTCTATGACTTGTTCTTTGTAAATATTAACATCTACGTATTCAATCCTCTGCTCTATGAATTTTTACTTTTCTACCTACCATCTTCCTCAACATTGCTTAGTGAGGACTGATCCCAAAGCTTTTGAAGAACCAGTGGCACCGTTCCCATAAGTGGGCTCAATGGTGACTCTATCATAATGTGAGAAAGGCCTGAAAGAAAAACCTGAAGATGTTTTTCCCCCCTCCACTCACAGGTGTATCTTTAAATGGGCTTAAAACCATAAAGGGGCAGAGAGCTTAAATAAATGCAGGTCTAGTGTAATTTAAACCTCCCTTTTTTAGTA